AAGATAGTATTAAAAATAATCCGAAAACAAAAACTATTATGAAACTCCTAATTCAGATGAATTTAATTCAATTCTTTATTGCATTTACCATAATGTTACGTAAATGGAAAAGCTTATAGCTAAATTAACAGCACATTATGGACCCTGTAGGGTACTAATAGCCTGTAGGGTAATCAAAGGATTAAGAATAAAAATAGCATTGTACATAATCCGAAATAAACAAAAACTATTGTACTTATGCTTTTGTACATGTAAATCTATTTTGTACTTGTAATAGGATAAATTGTAGTTAAATGTTTGCTAATACATTTTATGTAAATAAAATCATTAACTATTATTATTTTAATGTTGATTATAATTAATATTATAATGTTTTACTACCATGGTAATCATTTATTTCTTGTGAAATTACTCCACTAGTTAATATTATAATTATTAATACGAAGATCGAACACGAAGAAAAATTCCTATGATCAGGTTGTTTTTATTAATTTATGACAACAAAATGATAATATTTTGTTGTTAAAACTAATTAACAACTTTTACCTACCACTTAAGACGTTAATAAAAACGCATTTTTTTTCGTGCGTTAATCTCGCACAGAACCTTGGGAGTCGCATAATTTTAGCAAGTAAGGAAACTTTTTTTAAATCTAAATCAGTGGAGAAAAAGTGATTTGTTTTGAACTATAACATTAGCTTTTTGAATTTTGGTGCCGACGTCATGAACAACCTGTACATATCCTTAAAAATAAAATATGGATATGCTCCTGACATCTGATATCATAATCTAGAGTTAGCTTAACCAAGATGTACTGTTTATTCTAGCCTTCAAGGCGTCAGAGTTATATGCACACGGATATACTCAACCATACAACGTGTTCCACTTCCTTTCTGTGCATATTCTCAAGGATAATAATCACTTGCTCTTATATTTAGTATATCAACCAGGTATGCGTAATAACCAGCAATGCGCCTGATATTCCACTAGCAAATGGAAGATGAAGGGAAGGTTACCATCTATATGAATCTCACATAAGCCGAAGAGTCAGATCATTAGTGAGGATAATTGGAAAAGCAGACATTTTCTAAACGCATTATAAAGACGCTCCATCATCATTATAATCGCGGTTTGCGCGTATTGCGCTAGTCTCACCCAGCTATGGCCAGCACTAGACGATATCGTCTACCCATTTCACTACAGGATGTCTCACGTTTCTATTAATCAATTCTTGGTCACCATTGGGTTGTCACTTAACTCCATCTATCATCACCATACGTCGCAATATATCTACCCAGCTAAATTTTTGCTTCGTTATCTGATCTCCTATATTTTCGGAATTCAATACTCTGTCTCTTCATGGCTCACTAACTCACTCACTATGCAACTCTCATTCTATACGCAGCCTTCTGTGCGAGCATCCATCTCGACACCGTAAGTCCTAGTGAACAGAACGCATTGGTAAAATAAGCGGGTCTTCAAACACGCAGGAGTATCAACCGATTTGCAATTAAAGGCATTTAATTAAAGTAGCCATGGAGCTCCTCGTGAAAGGGTTCGTCCTAGGAAGTATTGTCATTTTACGTATTTCTGCTGCCAAGCAGTAATGTGAGCATTACTGCGTTTCGGTTTTGAAGGATAGTTAGTAGTGAAGTTACAGGC